TGCCTTACAATAAATACCCAAATCTTGAAGTCCTGCATTGCTTATCTTTTAACCCAGAAGGACAAACTTAAGGTTTCTCTATGACTGCAAAGTTTGCTCAATCAGGCACAAAAATGAGAATGAGATTGACAGACCAGACCCTCGGCATACTCTTTCTATGGAAAAGAATGCACATATAATTTAAACACAAAGCCAGAAGGCCCTGTTTTTATTTATAATTCACTTGAAAGAGACTGTTTCTATGGCAGCAAGAAATGAGAGTTTTTTCAAAGAAGCTATTGAATTGACAAACATCCACTCACCCCATTAAAAGCCTTTTCTTTGATGATGGGCAAGAACTGATGAATTGGGGCATATTTGTGCCACACTGTTCTACAACTTTGCAGAAGATATGTGGAGAGGGCTTTTGCTTTCTTCTATAACTGGGTTTCTTCTTATGTCCTATGTCTGGATTTGCAGATACTCATACAGAAGGGAAGGACAACAGTTAATTATTTCTATTAGGCAGAAAGAATGGGTGCGTGTAAGGGAGGAGGATTCAGAAATCTAACATTGAAGCTTTGAAGGGACACGACTTAAGAGGGTTCAGAGAGTTGTTGCCATACTGGTTAAATGAACAATTGCATGATTGATTGTTATTCCTGTGATCAAAAGAAGAAAGATTCAGTCTGTCTTTTCATCACCAGTGAGTGCAGTAAGTAGACTCAGCTAATGCTGAGCATTAAACTAATGTCAGCATTCGACTCAGAGATGTTGAGGGCCACTCTGTTTCAGCAGGCATAGAGCAATAGTCACTGTCCTGGTTAGCTGAAACTGTTGACTTCATCCAGAGTATACTCACCTGAGAAAGGAGTCTCAGTAGAAGGATTGCCCAGATAAGATTAGCCTATGTGTTGAAGGGAGGGGTGCATTTTAATCATTAAAATTGATGCAAATGGGCATAGCCCACCATTGGTGACATCATTCCCTGGGCAAGTGGTTCTGGGCTATAGAAGAAAGATAGCCTAAGCATAAGCCAGAAAACAGTATTTCTCCATGATTTCTGCTTCAAGTTCCTACTGACTTCTCTCATTGGTGAACTGGGGCTTAGAAGTGAAGCCAAATAAACCATTTCTTCCACCAAGTTGCTTTTGGTCATAGTTTGTCACAGCAATGGGATGAGCCTAGAACATATATATAGGACTCATTGGACAGGGATCAGTCAGTAAAATGCTTGCCTTGCAAGTACAAGAACATTAGTTCAAATCCCAGAGCAAAAAAATAAAAATAAAAACAAAATGAACAACTACCAAAAAAGCACACTTTTGATCCAAATGCTGCTGGAGTTCCATGGACCATGCACCTAGCCTAACTGGTGAACTCCAGGCCAGAAAAATGCTGCTACAAAACACAAGGTGGATGCGGTGTGAAGAACAACACCAGTAGCTATTCTCTGGCCTTTACAAGAGCGCGGGCGCGCTGGCGCGCGCGCGCGCGCACACACACACACACACACACACACACACAC